CCGGACCCGGTGGCTTAAAACTCATGCCGGGCATGTGTGCATGCGTGCCCAAGATCAGGGACTGCGGCGTGGCCATCCCCCCTGGGGGGTGATTTCTCACTTTCTGTCTCTATGTCTCTCTCTGTCTGTCTGGTGAGCGCACGTGCCCTATAGCGAAAACCTCTCCAAAAAAAAAAGAATTTTCTGGCATCCTCAACAAGACTTAATTATTCCTTCTTTGTGAGACGTGCTCACCCATATGGAAGGTATATTGAAACATACAGATAAGTGACTTGAAAGAATATTATTTTCTAAGAGTTTAGCATACTTACAATATAAGATCCTCTTCCAGTATAAGGAAACGCTATACCAAGGACTTGACTAATGAAAGGTTATTGTTAAGTATGCAACAAACCATCTGCTTGAGTGTTCTACCATTGTCTCTTTCCTCTCTGCATCTTTTCTCTCCTCACTCACACATGTGACAAATATCACCAAGTATCTTGATTGTTGTTTGACTCTGGAGACATAACAGTAAACAAGACAAATGAAGTCTTTATTTTAGTGAAAGTTCTATTTTAGTATCTGAGAGGAAAAAAATAAATTGGTAAAAAATTAAAATGATCATTCCAAAGGGTTATTTATAGGAACAAAACCAGAGTAATGGTATAGAGTATTGGGGCAGGAAATGTTACTCTACATACAATTTCTATAGGGACATCTAGCAGGTCTTCTTTGGGTAGATAATATTTAAGCCAAGTTCTGAATGATAAGAATCTAATCTTGCAAAGAAATGAGGAAAGAGAAATCAAGAAAGAGCAAGTAGCACACACAAAAACCTGAGGTAGAAATGAGCAGAGTGTTTAAGTCCATAAAAGAGACCAGTGTGAGGTGAACACAGTAAAGTGTGAATGGCAAGGGAATGAGGGGGAAGCAAGGAATGTGAAAATAGAGTCCCTTCTATGTAGGATCTAATGGGTCACTTTGAGATGTTTGTATCTTGCTCTTTCTTTTTTTTTGTAGAACAACCCCCTTCCCATTTATGGTTGTAGATTTCAACCTTCCTATTTACAAAGGATCTAAGTGAACAGAGAATTTATCACCATAGTTGCTTGTATTATTTAAGAGAATGCTTACTCCTAAAAGATAATCCTCAAAAATCTCAGTTACTTAATACCAAGGAGAAGAAAATTTTATTTCATAATCTATTATGTTTCAAAATAGTGTTTCCGATCAGTATTGAGAGATATATTTTACTCAATCATTTTGAGAATTCATACTAATGAAAGATTCGCCATCACCAAAACATGGCACTGAAGTTTATCCTGATTGTAGAACTCCAGACCATGGGTGGGTTAAGGAGCATAGGGACAGAAGTGAGTGTATGATTTCATGGCAGAATTTGATGGGCCACCTGGAAATGACAGACACTTCATATTTCTTTGGGCAGAATTCAGTCACATGCACCCAAAAGACTGGAAATTGTAGCCTAAATGATGCCAGCAGAGAAAGAAAACCAGCTCAATTAATCCTGGTCTGCATGGTGAGTTGCATGAGGCTACGTATTTGGGAACCTGCACTGGAATACAGAGCACTGTCAGGCCTTTTCAGACTTCCTACTCCTTACAAATAAAAGTGAATAAAGAAAGTATATATTGAAAACTGAAATTTGGGGGTGGGAGGAAAGGGGTGGGGAGGGAAGAGAAACATTTAACAGGCACAAAAATGAAAAGTTATCTGTTGATGATAATGTATATGGTAAAATGTTTGCCTTGACTAATACGCAATGTATTCATACCTAGAATTTATACTGTTTTGAAGATATGCAGTATTTCAATGTAATTTTTTAAAAATGTATTTGTTTATTTAATTCCATTCATTATTATTATGTTTTAATATGACCAGGATGAAAGAGAGAGAGAAAGCAAGAAAGCAAGCCACCAGGTCCAGGACTCGAACCATGGTCGGCCATGTGGGAATCCAGCACCCTTAACCATTACACCACTTGACAGCCCTCAATGTAAATTTTAAAGCGTGGCCATCCCCCCTGGGGGGTGATTTCTCACTTTCTGTCTCTATGTCTCTCTCTGTCTGTCTGGTGAGCGCACGTGCCCTATAGCGAAAACCTCTCCAAAAAAAAAAGAATTTTCTGGCATCCTCAACAAGACTTAATTATTCCTTCTTTGTGAGACGTGCTCACCCATATGGAAGGTATATTGAAACATACAGATAAGTGACTTGAAAGAATATTATTTTCTAAGAGTTTAGCATACTTACAATATAAGATCCTCTTCCAGTATAAGGAAACGCTATACCAAGGACTTGACTAATGAAAGGTTATTGTTAAGTATGCAACAAACCATCTGCTTGAGTGTTCTACCATTGTCTCTTTCCTCTCTGCATCTTTTCTCTCCTCACTCACACATGTGACAAATATCACCAAGTATCTTGATTGTTGTTTGACTCTGGAGACATAACAGTAAACAAGACAAATGAAGTCTTTATTTTAGTGAAAGTTCTATTTTAGTATCTGAGAGGAAAAAAATAAATTGGTAAAAAATTAAAATGATCATTCCAAAGGGTTATTTATAGGAACAAAACCAGAGTAATGGTATAGAGTATTGGGGCAGGAAATGTTACTCTACATACAATTTCTATAGGGACATCTAGCAGGTCTTCTTTGGGTAGATAATATTTAAGCCAAGTTCTGAATGATAAGAATCTAATCTTGCAAAGAAATGAGGAAAGAGAAATCAAGAAAGAGCAAGTAGCACACACAAAAACCTGAGGTAGAAATGAGCAGAGTGTTTAAGTCCATAAAAGAGACCAGTGTGAGGTGAACACAGTAAAGTGTGAATGGCAAGGGAATGAGGGGGAAGCAAGGAATGTGAAAATAGAGTCCCTTCTATGTAGGATCTAATGGGTCACTTTGAGATGTTTGTATCTTGCTCTTTCTTTTTTTTTGTAGAACAACCCCCTTCCCATTTATGGTTGTAGATTTCAACCTTCCTATTTACAAAGGATCTAAGTGAACAGAGAATTTATCACCATAGTTGCTTGTATTATTTAAGAGAATGCTTACTCCTAAAAGATAATCCTCAAAAATCTCAGTTACTTAATACCAAGGAGAAGAAAATTTTATTTCATAATCTATTATGTTTCAAAATAGTGTTTCCGATCAGTATTGAGAGATATATTTTACTCAATCATTTTGAGAATTCATACTAATGAAAGATTCGCCATCACCAAAACATGGCACTGAAGTTTATCCTGATTGTAGAACTCCAGACCATGGGTGGGTTAAGGAGCATAGGGACAGAAGTGAGTGTATGATTTCATGGCAGAATTTGATGGGCCACCTGGAAATGACAGACACTTCATATTTCTTTGGGCAGAATTCAGTCACATGCACCCAAAAGACTGGAAATTGTAGCCTAAATGATGCCAGCAGAGAAAGAAAACCAGCTCAATTAATCCTGGTCTGCATGGTGAGTTGCATGAGGCTACGTATTTGGGAACCTGCACTGGAATACAGAGCACTGTCAGGCCTTTTCAGACTTCCTACTCCTTACAAATAAAAGTGAATAAAGAAAGTATATATTGAAAACTGAAATTTGGGGGTGGGAGGAAAGGGGTGGGGAGGGAAGAGAAACATTTAACAGGCACAAAAATGAAAAGTTATCTGTTGATGATAATGTATATGGTAAAATGTTTGCCTTGACTAATACGCAATGTATTCATACCTAGAATTTATACTGTTTTGAAGATATGCAGTATTTCAATGTAATTTTTTAAAAATGTATTTGTTTATTTAATTCCATTTGTTATTATTATGTTTTAATATGACCAGGATGAAAGAGAGAGAGAAAGCAAGAAAGCAAGCCACCAGGTCCAGGACTCGAACCATGGTCGGCCATGTGGGAATCCAGCACCCTTAACCATTACACCACTTGACAGCCCTCAATGTAAATTTTAAAAAGTAATAAAATAAGAAGCTAAAAAAGAAAAAGAAATTCAAGTAAATATAATTTTTTTCTAGAAAATAAAAATCTCTAAAATTTTGATAATACAAACTAGAGAAAAGGAAGCTAGCCAAATTGTCTTGATTGAGCAAAGAACATAGCAACTTTCAACTGAAGGAAGACTTCCATAGGGAGGTGTAGTGGGCTGAATAGTGTTCCCCTCAAAAAAGATATGTCCAAATACTAATCCCTGAAACCTGTGATCTGTGATTGTGATCCTATTTGGAAATACAATCTTTGCAGATATAACAGTTGAGAATCTTGGGATGTGATTAGCTTGGATATAGAGGTGTTTACATGGAACCATTAAAAAAAAAAATCCTGTCTTAATATTGCTTTCAATCAGTACTTCCCATGGGGGCACATCTCTTCTTCCAGCAAAGTGTCTCCCCTCGCCATTCACAAAGATCCTCAAAGAGCATCTGTAAACTGGGCTCCAAACTCCCAACCTCTGCAGCCACAGCCAGGATTAAGCATCTGCTGCAGTTTGCTTCTTCCTTGACATAACCCGGCAAGGGGTGGAACCACAACATACTTGTGAAAATCCACACACCCAGTTAAGCTAAAGCTCTAAAGCTGCTAATGTCTCCGGAGGTCAAAGTGGGATTTGTTGTTGTTGTTGTTAATGCAAGGAAAATGATCCTCTCCTCAATTTTCTGGCAACTGACCACCATGGTGGCAGAGCTAGGGCTAAATTGAATGAAATTGGCCTAAGCAGGCCACTGTAATTGATTGACAAATTTGGCCTAAAGCAGTCCCCTTATATAAAGAATGGCAACCTAGCTTGATGTACAAAGCAAGCTGTAACCTATCCTCAGAGTATACCCAGGTAACCTAGCAACTGAGCCTCAGCCAATCACAGCAGCAACCAACCTCTTAGCCAATCAGGGGCTAAAATCTACTGAAAAGTGACCTATAACGCTATTGTCAACTACAGCCTGTTGAACAGGTTTTTTTTTTTTTTTTTTTTTTTTAATGCCACTTCCAGGATTTGTATATCACTTCTTTTTCTTTGGTTATCACTGTAAGCTGCCCATGTGGTTGGGTGGGGCATTGTGAACCAGCGTTTGTCAGGAATGCTTTTGGGTTCTAGAGGCTATCTTTTGCTAAAGTAATCACGATGTTAAATTTAACTTGTCCCAGACTTTTCTCTTCTCCTCTCTTCTCCTCTCTTCTCTTCTCTTCTCTTCTCTTCTCTTCTCTTCTCTTCTCTTCTCTTCTCCTTTTCTTTTATTTCTCTTTAGTCTCTGCAGGTCACTGTGCTTTCAAGAGAGAGAGCAAGAGAGAGAGAGAGAGAGAGAAAGTACCCACCCACTGGGGGCATGGTCACGTTGCAGTCCCTTCATTTCTTCTCCTCCTTTTCTTCATTATGCAGGAATTTTGGGTATGCACACAAGTCTGATGTTTTTAAGCAGCTGGACCAAGATCCCAGTCAGTTGACCATGTGGGAACAAGGTGCCTTAACTGTTGACTACAATGCCAGCCCTCAGTTTTTTCTTTTAGCTAGACTCTAAGTTCAACGTCAGAGATTTTATCATGCTTTATTCTTTATTTTTTTCTCCCCCAGGACCTCACACAATCCAAGGGGCTGTGTGGGCAGCAAACATGGTCACGTTGCCTTGGTCACTTTGCTTACTTCTCCAGCAAAGCCCATATATAACAATTTATATAACCCTTGGGGCCAGCAGACGGGTTAGCAGTTATATCACTGGTCTTACGCACAGTGGACTGTGGCTAGAGTCCTAAACCTGGTGACTTAAAACTCAGGCCGGGTGCATGTGTGTGCATGTCCAGGACTCCAAGAGGAGAATGGAAGAACAGTAAAAATCTCTCTAATAAATAAAAAGAGAGAGAGAAAGAAATCTTGCTGAGAGGAAGGACTATCACCTATCTAAACACAGCTCCACTCCAGGTGACAGTCACTTCATAAGGAATAGGTGGAAAGAAAGGAAAGGGTTGCTGATACAAAGCCAGCCTAAGGCTGTCAGAGGCTAAGAGCCCCTCTCCCAAGGCCAATCCCATTGTGCTAAAGAGCGTGAATTTTTATTCCAGATTTCTGTGACTTGCTGCTGTTTCCAGTGCACAAGGGAAGGCCTCTTCTCCAAATCTTGATGGAATATTAGACAATGAGAAGTTTTATAATGTGGAGTTGCTGTGCTTTGACTCCAATTGGCTCATACTGCAAGACTGGGTTTGAGAATGGAAGGGATAGAACCTGCTGGCTGTGTTTGTCCTGGGAAAGAGGTCTGTGGAAGTTGCACTCACTTAGATATGTTGTTTTGCATCTGTAGAGGCTAAAAGCCTCTGATACGAGAAAAGGAATGCTAGTGTCAGCTGAGAAAAAGCAAAAATAATAGACATAGGAGCAGTGAATTAAAGGCACATAATTAGTTAAAGATTGCAAATAGAAAACAGGATTGTGATCAATGTTTGTGTCCGTCCCAAATCTCCTGTTGAAATTTAATCCTTAGGGCAGTAGTATGAAGAATTGGATGACAAGGAGTTCATTGGGCCACAGGGTCTCTGCCCTCACAAATGAAATGGTGTTTTCAAAGTGCTTAAGGGAGAGTTTGGTCTGTTTTCCACTTTCAGTGCGTGAGGACACCTAGACACCATCTATGAGGAAGGGGCACTCCTCCAACACTGAACTTGCCAGTGCTTAGGTCTTGCACATCTCAGTTTCTCCAACTGTAAGAGACCAGGAGTGTTGGATTGGAATTTTTCAGTTTTCCAGAGGAAGGAAACATACAAGATAAGCCTGGAACATTTTCTGGTGTCACAAAGTAAAGAAGTGTCCAAAGATAAAAAAAAATAATAATAATGGGGACTGTTGAAAAGACAGCGGAAGTCCCCAAAAGGGGCTCCCAGTGTCCAAATCTGAGATCAACATATCAGAATAGGAATGATAGTATGGCTTATAACCCACTGACTAAACAAAAAGCCAGGTATCCATACTACTAACACATGATTAAAGGAATAATGGAAGCAAAAGGAAAACTTGAACTAGTAAAATGTCAACTATGACAAAGTGAAAGGAATGATGTTAGAAAACCACCATCTTGTGATATGATAGGATGATAAAGCTACAGTGTAAATTGGGGTGGGGAACACAATATGTACGTCCTCTCAAAGCACCTTCCTGGAATTCACATATTTATCATTTCAGATATGATTCACTGAAGAGGAAACAGTAACCCAGACCAAATGTAGAAAGTAAATTAAATCATAAGAAACTGTTAAACTAAACTGACCTGAGATGGCCTCTGTACTCAGATACTTGAATTCCTATAAACAAAGTACAACTTCACTTGGAAGTCTGTCCCTTAACAAGTTGCTAAATTAGAGCCAATCACAGACAACCCACCCTTTAAACGGTGTTCATGCAGGGAAACATCAAGCTCTAACCAATCCAATTATTTCTCTACCTCATTCCTGCACTTTTGTTTTTTTGTATATCACTTGTCACTTTCCATATGTACATGTTTCCTCACCACATGGAGGACACCAAGTTCTTCCTGTCCTCCAGCCCATCAGATCTTGGGCACTCACTGACAGGCGAGTGTGTTTCAAGCTGACTGGGAAGGGGATTCGCATCAGAGATGCCGTGAGGGACCTTGCCTCCCTTCCAGCAGTGCATTACTGCAGTTCCACAGAGTCAGCCCTTGACTTGTATTCTTTAAAAAACGGTCAACAGGGAGTTGACTTTTAGACTACCTGTGGACTAGAGGTTAAGAGACCCAGATTCCCCATAGACAATTGTGGTTCGCATCCTGGCTCTGGTGGCTTGAAAAACACGCCAGGCCTATTTCTTAATCCTGACAGGATTGAGAAATGGAGGTCAAGGGATTGCGATGTGAACAGTTCTCATTAGGGAGTGTTTTTTTTCTGTCACTCTCTCTGTATTTCTCTGTCTGTCTCTGGTGAGCACACAGAGCCAAATTAAAAAGAAGAGAAAAATGTACAAAAGAAAGAAACCTCTGTGGGGCCAGCGAATGTGCAGTGGTAATTCGATGGTCTGCCATACTGGACCCACATTGGAAGGTCTGAGTGCGTACCCTGAGGCCTCTCTGTACATGGGGACTTGCATGCACACACCTGTGAACCAGACTCTCTGTGGATTGTGTAGCGAAGACCCTGCTGGGGGTATCTGTCTATCTCTCTGACTCTCCCACAAAAGAAAGAAATAAACTTAAAAAAAAAACACAGTAAATGTCACTAAAGATGAAGAAAGCTTAAAGAACTGTTCCGGATTAGAGACTAATTATGTTCAAAATTATTTGGTTTAAAAACATACATTTTTAAAAGAATTATTTACATAATTTTATTTATTAGTATTAATTTTTAATGTGCTACAGGGCTTATGTGCTTACCAGAGAGACACAGAAAGAGAAAGAGAAAGTGAGAAAGCAAGCCACCAGGTCTGGGACTCGAACTGCAGTCAGTCATGTGGGACTCTAGCATCTTCACCACACCACCTGCTGGCCCCTAAAAAATATTTTTAAAAAGTTCTGTGGTTAGCCCTTGTATCCCCTCTCACCTGGTTATGTTGCTTTCATGGTATTCTGATAGTAATTTGTTTCTCTAGATTGCAATACATATGCATTCTCCTATCTGAAGTAGGATACATATTCTATTTAGAAAAAGACTCTTTCAAAAGCATATATGCTATATTATTTTCACTTTTTCTTTAGTCCTTCTACTGAGATTTGTGAACAAGTTGCAAAATTTCTGACTTTTTCCTCAGTATTTAGTGCCCTCTGGTGTTTGCAAAGAGGGGCTAACAATACATTTTGCTCCGAGTTTTCTGCTTATTAGAATTCTTTGGCATAGGTGAATTGTATCTACACAGCTTGAGCTAATGCTTGAAAATTTTTACATTTATTTCAGATATAAAAATGAGTGGCAGTCAATTAGTTATTTGGGGAGAGTTTCAATATTAAAAAATATATATCTGGGATTTCCATCTGGCAAATGAAGAATAACTACCACAGTGATATCCTTTACACAGTCTGGAAATAAAATCTTCACAATCAGGCTGCTTGGCCCATTTCTTGATAGTGTAGCAAACAGTATAAGGATAAGAACAGCAAGGAGGGAAGCGAACTAAAGAGAAAGGAGAGGGAAAAGGGCAATTTCTCTGTCGTTAGAAGTACAATAGTCTTTCCAGGGGATTTCCTTATTCTTGAGGAGTTTCCATTTTTCCAACTGATATAGAGAGTCTACATTTGCCCCTGCTTCGGCTTTGGATTATTTCACGTCTTTAACATGGGCTTCCATTTCTTACCCTGAGATTTACCTGGTTCAGCAATTTTAAAATCTTTTGTGGGGAGAAGGGAAGAGGAGTAGGTGCTTACTCAAATAGAACATTCCATGCAACTGGAATGGATAGCACAGGAAAAAAAAATTTACTCAGGGTAGGGCCAGTCAGTGATGCGGGGTTAAGGCTGCTGTATTTCACATGGCCAACTATGCAGTTCAAGTCCTGCACCTGGCAGCTCGAGAAACATACTGGGCCTGAGTATGTGCATGCTCAAAAGTCCTGAGAGGAGAATGGAGGAGAAGGGATTATGGTTTGGCACCACCCCTAGGGGTAGTGGGAGTGTTTTTCCATCTTTTCTCATTCTATAGCAAGAACACTGGGTAAATGGTCTAGATTTTTGGAAGGTTTTGGACCCTGCCATTTAACCTCCCCTGTTGCCCACCCCCTAGGTGACTTCTGGATCACCACTGAGACTTCCCAGTTGGCTGAGGAACACATTTTGACCAATAGGGAAGCAAAAGGTAAATTCACAAGCGGCCTCTTTCTCATAATTTGTCACACATTACTCTCAAATGAAGAGAGTCTGCTCTCTGTAAGTGATTTTGTATTTTAAATACTAGCAAAATTTCTTTAATTTGTTTATGTACTTAACAAATATTTAGCGATAATCAGGGATTATCGCTGGGCCACAAGAAATAGATATGTTTCCTGTCCTCCATAAGTACATAATTTTATGGTACATCATTTTATAAATATTAATTAAGTAATATCACAAACAAATGTGAGCAAATTTCAAATAGTTTATGGAAAACAAAACTGAAATACAAGTTTATTTTGGTGCAAAAATTTTGAATCCAGGCATTATTTTTCATAGTATGCATTTTCCATGGACATTTTGAGAACTTTTGTGTAACAATCAGGTGATATCTTTAATATCTTTAATAGAGGAAGTTCATGTTACTATGAGGGGACTTCATAGGAAGAGCTCGTTCTAGTCAGGAATACTGAGAGCCCTTCCTGGGGCAGAAATGAGTGAAATGGAATTTAAAGGCATGTTAGGAGTTAACCTGGGTAGAGGAAGAGTATTACATGCAGATCCCAGGACAAGAAGCAGCTCAGCACTTAGACTAACTGAAGCATGGTCAATATGGCTAAACCAAGACAGCCAGGGGCAGGGGAGAAATGGGATAGATAGGGACTAAGAGAAAGTATTGCAAGCTATCCAGGATTTTGGTCTATATTTTAAGAGAAATGGAAAGTTACTCACATGTTTTAAGCACAAGGGACATGGTCAGATCACTCTGGCTTTGGAATGGCAGATATTGGGTTGGGATGGGTGAGAAGATGTACAAACAAGCACAGGATTACCTGAGAGGAGAATGTTGTTATTGTCTGGTAAAGAGAATTATGGTGTTTTGGTCTAGAGTATGTCAATGGACATTGAAAAAGCAGATGCCTGCAAGAAATTTGTAAGGGATGAAATAATCTAATATGGTGACAGATGGGAGATAGGGTGAACAGGAGAGAGAGGTGGCAAGGATAACTCTGAGATTTCTGTCTTATTCAATAGAATGAATGAGACATGGACCATGAGAAGAAGAGTAAAGCTTTTGGTGAAAGAAGAGGAGTCATCGATATGGTTTTGCTGCATAGTGTTTGAAGAGCTTTGAGCTAAATATTGCAAATTTGTATGTGAAATACAAGCGATCTATCTGAGTTGGAGACATGCGTTTGGGAATTATCTGTGTATAGGGAGCAATAAAGACATGAGCACAGATGATGTTTCCAAGGGACAAAGTGCAAAGGGACAATACAGTGGAGTCTTTGCTAGAACTTCAGGAGCTTCAACAATATATGGCTAAGTAAAGAAGACAAAAAGTTCTAAGTGAGCATTCAGAGCTGTGACCAAGTTGCACAAGTATTGCTGCCTGGGATCCTAGGCAAGTAAATGTTTCAAGAAGTAAAGAATGGTCAGCAGAAAAATGGTGCTTAGAATTTAAGCAAGAAAAGGACTAATGTCCACTGGATTTAGTAAAGGAGGTTTTGGGTGGTCTTCATGAGAACCAGTTCAGTGGAATGACAGGGGCAAAGCTGCAGATTAGATTAGTTTTAGGAGTAAGTTTTAGTTGAGTTGAAATATTTATTTATAGAAGCATAGCCTTAAAGGTGAGAAGAGAGGTAGTCTGCTAATGGATACACAATGTGGTATTGAAAGAAATAGAATGTGGTATTGAAGGAAGAGATGTGGTTTATGTAAACACCAGTGGAAGACTCCAGGGAGCTGCTGCAATATATAATACAGAAAAGGAATAAAAGGGTGAATCAACTGTAATTTTTCAGTGGAGGGTAAGGACGATGAAACTGAAAGAATTTATGATGGTACTGCCCTTATACAGAAAATGAAGGCTGCATTTCTACTTTAATGAGATAGAAGCATTTTTGGATTAGTTATGTGTATTTCAAGACTATTTGTTGGCAGGAAATAAAGGTATTTGTGTGCATGTGTGTGGGTATGCATGCAGATGTAATATTTGTATTTTTTTCATAAAGCAAATGGTAGCCCCATCTGCTTAATTTTAAGAAAGAAAGGAAAAGCAAAGATTTGAGGGTAGAAGAGTAAGCCAAAATAATAGAAGAAAAAAATAGGTTGACCAGATGAAAGTAGGAGGATGGACTGGCAGTGTTGAGAGTCTATCAGGGTTAATTACATGAATTTATAGGGTCTCCAATCTACCCATTGTGACTGACTTGTCTTTATTGTATTTCGGTTTTTACCACATGCAGTTTAGCTAGGTCAAATACAGTAAGAAGGCAACCACGGAAATAACATTTACATCTATTTCAGACCGCCTGCAACAGTGTCCTGCCCATTCACTATATATAATAACATTTTCAAATTCCTTGGATCCACTCCTAATGCAATTGGATACATATGAATGAAAAACAGTCTTCTAATTGTTGACCACATAAAACTATTTAGAGCAAAAAGAAAGAGGACGCAAGAGACCACATGACCACAGATCTAATGAGGCAGTGATGTTTTGATATACTAATCCTCTTTGGGGTTGAGGAAGGATGAAAGAGGCATAGAATGAGTTCTCTGTGTGTTCAGAAAGTCTATGGAGGCAAATCTACAATTAGATGAAGCATGCAAGTATACACAGATGAAAATGTCATAAAAAAAGAAATAAAACAGGGATTTTATGTGATAGAAAAGAGGCATAGAATGAGTTCTCTGTGTGTTCAGAAAGTCTATGGAGGCAAATCTACAATTAGATGAAGAACGCAAGTATACACAGATGAAAATGTCATAAAAAAATAAAACAGGGATAGATTGTGATAGATTCTATATTAAATCAGCTTTTCATGCCATTGTATGAAACTTTGGGCTCTAAGGCTGCGAAGACAGGTAAAAACTGAGAGAGAGCAAATCCTCTAACATTTTGCTGCTACTTTTTATTTTTTAAATGCAATCTATCATTTTTTCTTCAATGAGACTGATCTTATGAAAGTAGTTATTTTTGTTTCCAATAACATCTTCCTTTAGTGTAATAACTATGATGGCTTCTTTCATTTCAGCTCTTCAATGTATTGGGTGCATGTGTAGTAGCAGATTTGATTTGTCCCAAGACAGATCTTGCCTTTGTCTTGGGTTCCTGTGGGGTAACCAATAAACCTTTGGGATTTTGTCACTGATGGAGCATCTTTAATATTCATGGTGGATCCCAGGACCCCCATCTGAGAGTTTATGCTACTGAAGCAGTTCATGATAGGCCCCCTGGCAGGGTGATGTCAGCCCAACTGCCAGCAAAGGGATCTGTGTTGAAGATGGCATTTAACAGCCTCTGATTCAATCAATCACACCTAAGTGAGGAGCCCCAATAACAATTCTGGACATCAAATCTCTGATGAGTTTCCCTTTTCAGCGGTGCTTACGTGTACTGTCATGCACTGTGGTCAGGAGGAAGTGACCCTGTCCACCTCTGACTCAGTGGGTGAAGGACTAGAGGCTGCTCTGTGCTTCTTCCTTTGTCTAGTTTGAACATGGATCCCTCTTTCTGGAATAAACGTAACATTGAGTATACCAGCTTTTGGTGAGTTCCTTGAGACTTCTAGTGAATTACTGAGCCCAGAGCTGATTCTCACGGCCTCTAGGGTTTGCAGTTAGTTTCCTAATTCTTGGACAGACTTGTAGAGCGCATGCTCTTAACTTTGCAGTTTGACTACCTGCAGGGAGTGCAGAACCAAATCAAAATTTTTGAATGTCCATCTTGGTTATTTGGATAATTCAGGAATGTCTCATTTACATCCTAACTGAAGGTTTGGCATGGGAGAGACCCTGTCTGTTATGGTCTCCTCCCCCAAAGGTCTTATTATCATCAATTGACAAATGTCCCTTAGAGAGGCTTAGCAGTGAGATTAGCAGACTCCTTTGCTGATGACATCACCCTTGAAATCATGGTATGTGTGAGTCTCAAAATCTTAGAACTGCGAATCAGTCAATATCCAATCAGAAGTCAGAAACTGCATGGTAATTTGAATAGCGAAAATTTAATTGAAAGAATTAGTAGCTGTAAGAGAAGATTGAAGCAATAAGGGTTTGGCAAGTGGGAAGTAAGAAGATTCTAAAGAATATTGAACTAGCAGCTATAAGGAGCAGCCAGTCCCTCTAGGGCTGAAATATAACTCCCAAGGAAAAACCCTACCTCCAGCCTCAGAGCTGAGATCCAGTTGTTGAAAAGGCCCTTGGGTGGTTCAGTGGATGGTGCAGAGCTGTGTCTCACTGGTGGAAACTGCTGAGAATCTGCCCTCTGGCCCTCGTTGAGAATCCATCTTCTCTGGGTTAGGGGAGGTATCCTTGCCTGAGGCACTCCAGTTTAAAATGGCCTGGGTGAAGAGATGCAGCAGACGTGCTGCTGCCTACTAGGTGCAGATAACTACAGCTACTGCAGGGGCAGGGGCCTGGGGAAGCCATGTTTGTTGCATGTGCTGGGTGCTGGAGATGGAGCTAACTGAGGAGTTGGCATGAGAGAGGCCCTCGGTGCTGCAGACACCTGAGCAGGCACAAGAGAACCAGGAAGACAAAGCCCTTCTTTCAGCACTCACGCTCCAGCACCCTCTAAGGACAGCCCTTACTATTGTGTCAGTCTGCAAAAAGAAGATGTTTAAAGGGCTCAGGCCCATTTTCACAAAACAGGCTATAAATTTGGAGCTAACAAGAAATAACTTGATAACTGGCAATAGCTGAACGGTTATATAAGTTATTACACTAACTAAGAGGTTAAGGGACTTTCCTAAAGTTACATGTGAGGAGTGGGGCCAGGGCTAGGTCTCAGGTCTGCCAATGCCCAGTGTGGTATAAAAAGTTTTTTATTTTGCTTTTCTTTAAGATTTTGCTATCGGGCTTATGCGTTCACCGAAGAGCAATAGAAAGAGAGAGAAATAGAGAGTGGGAAAGTGAGAAATGCTCCTAATCTCTGGTAGATGGTCACATCACAATCCCTGCTCCTCCATTCTCTTCTCAGTATTTTGGGTACACGCACACACACGACATATTTTTCAAGCTGCTGGGCCCAGGACTTGAACTATGCTATTGACTATGTGGGATCCAGCTGTCATAACCTCCCTGCCACCTGCTGGCCCTAGTATATTACCATTTTTAGCATGAGGTCAAACCATTGAAAACTGACTTGTTTTTTAAACAAATATATATAACTTTGGAATGATTTTTCTCTCTGACAGGTGATAACAACAAAAGCAATGACTACATTTTTAGTGCAGAACTATGGGCTCGCATAAGCAATCAAGATGGGAATGCTATCTGCATTTTACAGATGACCAATATAAGACTTAAGGAAGTTAAGTGATCTGCTTAATGTCAGAGAGTAAGTAGCAGAGTAGTTTGTTTGACTTTAAAACCTGGTTCTTGGGAACCAGCAGTTAGTGTAATGGCTATGTCGCTGGACTCCCACGTAGTTGACCGCAGTTCATGTCCCGGACCCAGTGACTTAAAACTCACGCCGGGCGCGTGTGCGTGTGTGCCCAAGATCCTAAGAGGAGAATGGAGAAGGGATTGTGGCGTGGCCATCCCCCCTGGGGGTTGATTTCTCACTTTCTGTCTCTCTCCATCTGTCTGGCAAGCGCACGCGCCCTAACAGTGAAAACCTCTCCAAAAAAAAAATACTGGTTCTATTTCATCTTTATGCCATTTGAATAAAATCCTTATGATCTATAGCAAGAATTTCCAAGAATGGGAGTGTCTCTAGGGTTGGGGAAAAGAAGGCCATTATGGTAAGGGAGGTTAGCCATAGAGTAAAGATTCATCATCACAGTCTGGCTGATTACCCGTGTCCACCAGGGTGTAGTGTGGGATAGAGGATGCAGATACGTCTAAGAGAGAGGGCTCTGTTTCCTGGCGCCTGAGCAGAAGCTCAGGGCAGTGGGGAGCAGGGGCCAGAGCACGACTTGAGATCATCTCCTATAGATCATCAGGGCCTCTTTCACTGTTTGTTTATCCTGTAAGACACATTCAGCTGAGTGGTAGAATTTCTGTGTCTGTCTTTCCTTCTTTAGCAGCATACCATAAATTTTAAGTATGTATTTATTTTTATTTTTTGATTGCCAGAAAGTTCATGAGCTTGCCAGAGAGAAGGGGGGAGAGAGAGAGAGAGAGAGAGAGAGAGAGGGAGGCAGACAGACAGCATCCTCCAGTGGGACATCATGATTGGGACATACAGAAAGTTCATGAGCTTGCCAGAGAGAAGGGGAGAGAGAGAG